GGGTTTATATCTTCGCATTCAGATACGTGCACTGTAGTGCGCTCGGGGTGGTTGCCAAAACAAGAGGGCAACAGTAGACTGGATGACCCAGGTATATCGTCTCCGGGCAGAACAGAAATCCCATCACTTACAGCAAGAGGCTTAGGTGATATGGCTTCCGCTACAGGTAATTTTTTTGCGACATCGCTTAAGACATCGTGCGTAGGAATAGAGTCTCCCTTTATCGGCGGCTTCATTTTCATTGTCCTGCTGTTACCGGCGTCTGCGGTTTTGGCTGTTGAGATGCTACTCGTGTTTGAAGATTCCCCCGAGATATTTATCCCATTGTTTATGGATAAACCAACGGATTTGCCAACCTCGTTCACCCGTGACACCATAGACTGTAGATCACCAAAACTTGAAGCAAGTAAGGCAATATCATCGATATAGTCGAGATCAGTTAGTCGGCATCCGGACGCAAACTCAACACCATCGCTTTCGTGTGGGGCTTTCTCGAGAATCTAGTCAACAGCGTAGTTAAATAGAATGGTTCACAGGGTGCAACCCTGGCGAACGCCAGACCGAATACCGAACTGTTGGGAAAGATTGTTGTAGACCAGAACTCTTGCAGTGGTGGAGCGATAAAAGGCCCTAATCATGGCGACGGTTTTTGGAAGTACGTCATCTAAAGTCATTATCAACTACAGGGACTCACGATGGACGGAATCGAATTCGGCGGCAAAGTCAACAAAGCAGGCGGCCGTTGGTTGCTGATACATGTAGCGGAATCCGAGGATGCGCCTCACTGTGAATACCTGATTCGCACATCCAAATCAAGCACGAAATCCGGGTTGATTGAGCCTCGCCCTAGAACCAAGCAAAGCCCGGAATCGCCTGAGTAGGGCAATATTGAAGATCTTTGCAGCAACCTCTATGAGGCTTATGCAGCGGTAGTTCTCGCATCTTGTCTTATCTCCCTTCTTGAGGATAGGTACAAGGATGCTTGAGCCCAAGTCATCGGAAGCAACCTCGTCTCTCCACTCTTTATCGATCACCTCATGGAGCCTGGGCGCCAGAGTGTCAACACAAGACTTGTAGATTTCAGCGGGTATAACCGACCTCTCGGGGTGCCTCGTTGTTACGCAGCCTCTGTATGGCATCAACAATTTCTCCTTCAGAAATGTAATCGCATAATAAGGCAAAGGTTGTAGAGGGAAGAAACTCCGCTGTAGAGGAGTACAAGATCGTAGTGTGTTGGACACTGAAGTTGAGATACTGCTCAAAGTGCTCACGCCAGCGCGGGAATTTGGCCGCGTCGTCAGCAAAAAAGTCGCAATTCATGTCGCGAACAGAATCACTCGGCGCTTGGGGCTTACCTCTAACTTGGCGGATAAGGTAATAGAGATTTCGAGTGTCACTAACGTTCGGGGCCTATTTCATGGAGGTCGCTATTTCTGCGTATTACTGTTTCCGGTCATCCGACCGACATTACCGTCATATTTCGGAGTTGGCGGAAGGAATCGTCATTATGGGACCTGGCTCGAGCCGTCTGAGCGAAGTTCAGCGATCTCCCACCACGTTAACACCAAGAACAAAGCCCAAAGCGGCCGAAAAGATGACTGTTTATGAAGTCGCCTGGTCCAGTCCGATCTTTCCAATCCCTGGAAGCAATCAGCAGATCGTGGCGAGGGAGTCCTTCAATCAACGCTTGTAGCTGCGAGTCAGACGCCGCCTTATCACGCCGTTCGGTAGCTGAAGTTGGTACGTACACAGAGACGACGGAGATGTTGGTGAAGTGACCCTTCAGTCGCACGTGGGCCATTCGGTCATTGACTGGTTCCCAAGCCATTAACGCGATGTCCACCTGTTGCGAGAGGCGATCGACATACCGTGTCTACCAGAAGTAACGCGCGGTCATGTGGTAGAGGGTGAAATGTCATTCTACTCCTGGGATGTTTATTTCTCGAGAGTCTGTCTCAGGAAGTTGAACTTCCGATAGGCAGCAGATATGCACGTTGTGCTGATTAAGGCTGCGCACGGTCAGATTTTGGCTACCGGGTTTAGGAAAGTTTGCACATCCCAGCATCCAGTGCCAGGAGTCTATCTCCGATCGAGCAGTCCAGCTCGAATATTATTCGCGCGCACAACGCGAATAGGGTTGCGGAGCGCGTCTGTCACCGATGACACCGTAGCATAGGTCGTAATACTGTAGTCAGACGTATTTCAAGAGATTTCTTAGGATTTTTCAGCACAGGCGGGTTCCCAACAGCCGCTCAGATTGTTTGTTCGAGATTGCCTCATCTAACTGCTGGTCGGATTTGTGTTTAATCACTTCCCTTGACAATGCCTGTAAACTGGCATTAAATTAAAATTTACTTATTTATTTATTTAACGCTTTGGCTTCAAAGCCTAACCACAAAGCAGCGGTGGCAAGCAAATTTATTTAATGGCGGTTTACGGTCGTCGTGTCACAGTGCCGTCATCGGGTCTTGCGGTTTCTTTACGAGGCCTTTAGCGTGCCAGACCTCAGCCCTTCACACCATGGTAGCACTGTCGCCGCTGGTTCGTGAGTGATTATTTTTCAGACATTGGTCTGCCTATTTTGCAGCAACCCTGTACTGAAAGCCGTTCCACTATCCGCGGCCTGTGGACGCACCGGGTAGCCAGCAACAAGGCTAACGGACAACCCGTCTTCCCGTCAACGCGTTTTCTGGTCTCCGAAACCAGAGAAATTTTACGTTAGTTAGCTGACATCTATTTGAATAGGAAATTTTGGGATGTGCTTTGCTTAAGAGCCTACTAGTATAGTGCCTCTGCGTGTTCTCAGTTTTTGTACAACTAGTATCATTCATTTTACCAAAAATAACAACAATACACAAGAATCGGGAGGTCAAACATTCAAGATAGTCTTGATTTCTGGAAGGTAAAAGTTAAATAAAATAAAGCCACAAGTATCAGCAGCTTTAGCCGTAATTCTGTCGGTGCGTGGCAAGATATCTAGATTATTGGCGTCGCTTAAACCTAAGTCCTTCATGGTAACAAATTCAGTCGTATCTGTGCCTTTAAACGCTATTGGTTGGGGCAAAATTTCAGGTCGGAGACACAGAGCGACAATTAGATGGAGGGAATTCGATTGGGCATTTTGAGCTCCACGCTGAAAGAGCAAGCAAGTCAGCATGAATTTGCTCCAGACAATTCTGGGTCCTAGATTTAAGGAATGAATGTAAGCATCTCAGGACATCAGCATAAACAAAAGATTGAGATTGTTTAACTGTCGACGAAATATCATAAATTTGAAGTCGAAACAGAATAGGACATAAACGGTTCCTTGAAAGACACCAGTTACTATGAGGACTCCCACTAAGAACTTTTGCTTCCGATTATATAAGTATGACTTGATAAAGTCAATTAGGGGGCTGCTATTTCTTACAGACTCTAGTATATTTAAGAGTCGTCTATGTGCCACCTTACCAAAGACGATCGGGCAGCAATATGCAACCCTATCCAGAATGCACAGAATCGGTCATCGTGTCTTACAGGAAAGGTGGAAGTAGGGGCTATATGAGTAGGGCTAATGGGTGGAAAAGAGAGCATTCAAAGGGATTAGGTTTAGAGAAAATGCTTTCATTCCGTGAACAGAATCAAATAAGCCCGTGTGTAACCTCGAAGGCTATCCCAAAAACGGGTTGCTAGCGCGAGTTAACATCAAAAAACCAAAGAAAGCTAACTATAGCGCCTGCTTAATAGGACGCCAAGCTTAGAGTTCAAGGCTGCGCAATAGCCAATAGAAACCCAAGGACGAGGAGCATTGGTGAACCCCATAAGAGTAAAAAGGGGACGCTGGCCTAACGGCACGATTCATAATGAGCTAGAATCACAATGCCATGGGAGGATCTTATCTACGCACTTTTTCTTGTTATCTCATTACTTACCGGATTTCTCGTGCAAAAAGGAAATCGTGATCTTCGAAGGAACATCTGCGTCGGTGCTGGAATTACACTGTCAGTTGTTGTGTGTGGGACGGATGTTTGGCATTCTTTCGTACTCGCGCTTGGTTTCATTCTCTGTCAAGCTTTGATAAGTCCAAGGTAGGAGACAGCGCTTTTCGATTTCCTAGATACCTCCACTACATCACATTCATTTGGGGATTTGCGTACCTCGGATTCTTTCACAATCTCCAATATTTCGGATTCTCTAAACCTTCTTGTTTTTCCAAGATATACCATTTATTTCTAACTCTTAGGGTAAGTATTGAAACGATCGCTCATTTGCAAGGTTGTTGGTGTTGCGTTTGAACTTCACGACACATGGAAAACTGCCTACACGCTTAAGAAGCTGAAAGATGAGAACACAGAAGAATATCAACATTTGAAACTTAAATTAAAGCACAAGGGGATTTTTGCCTCGCCTTTCGACCTACTGTGCTATGTTTACTCCTATATCGGAATGCTCACCGGTACCCTGCCAACACATGGCCCCGGGGGCCAGACGGGGCTAGACGGGGCTATGCCCCGTCCAAATTTCCATGCTTTCTAATCACGTCATTCTGCATTAATTTGGACTGTTTGAGCTTTATTATCGTGAAATATAAGCCTTTTAACTTGTTTAATATGGTTTCAGTCGTATAACATCGAGAGAAATTCATGTTTCACGAAGGCCAATATTGGCCTTGTTTAAGTCGGTCATGTACCCACGTGGAGGGCACTTTCACGCTGACAGTGTGCACATCTGATCCATACAGCTGCTTGACTCCTGATTCTTCCTTGGCTCTTTCTGACTGCAGTACGTTATTCATTTACTTTTTTATTTCGTCTATGCGATGCAATATGTCATTGTAATAAGTAAATGCTTTATTTTAGTCTCCAGAATCGTAATTTAAGTTATTTATAAGAATGGCACGTAATCTGACGGCTTGAGTGTACTATATAGCGGTCTAATATATGTTAATGGTATTTATATGTTAATTCTAAGCAAATATGGAAAGAAAATACTGGGGACTTCATCGCAGTACAATGCACAACATGACTAAGCGGGCGAAGATGGCGTACTATGCCGCCACCGATGACCCCTCGCCCCCATCTACGTCATCCCTCGTAACGGAGTCGTCCCCCGAACCATCGATGCCGCACCTTAGCCCTGAAGTGAGCATTGGTAGGTGTTAAATGGTATGCTATAAGACGATGTAGACGATGACCAGGTTGCAGATGACAGCTCGAACCCGTTCAGTGGCAATTGCTTCTTGACAGATTTGAGGGAATTCTGCTTAAGTGTCCAACTACCGCAAGCAACATTCAAGTTGTTGTTCCAATTTTTGCGGAAATACCACCCAGAGGTGCCCAAGGACCCGCGAACTCCCATGCAGACACCGCGAGCATGCGTTACTGAGTCCCTCTCTAACGGCAGCTACGTCCACCTGGGCCTTAAACGCGGTCTGTTAGATGAGCTTCAACTTCGACCTTCGGCTTTGTTCCCGAAAATACGGGTTCAACTCCACATTGACGGAATGAAGCTATTTAAAGGGTCTGGCCAGTGTCTATGGCCAATCCTCGGTCGAGTCAGCTATCCTGTCCGTGGACTGCCGTTTGTTGTTGGAGTGTTCTCTGGTTCCGGCAAGCCTGAGCCTTTGGATGTATTTCTTGGCCAGTGCATCTCAGAACTGAAGGATATTCTGACCAGCGGACTTCAGGTCCCGGATACGGACGCTGTAGTTAGAGTTGAGCTGGCCAACGTTATCTGCGACACACCTGCTCGGTCCTACGTCCGGCAAGTAAAAGCGCATAATGACTATTACGGCTGCGACAGGTAATTGCTGTAATCGACGAAAATGTAATCCTCCTAGGTGTTGTCATATGGGTAGGTCCGTGGCAAACCGCATGATCTTCCCCGTACACAGCGGGCGTCTGCGGGATGACAGGTCATTCCGCACGAGAAGTCAGGAGCAGCACCATAAAGGCACCTCACCTTTCGAGGACTTGCCTATTGATATGGTTGCTACATTTCCAATTGACTACATGCATCTCGTTTGTCTTGGAGTCATGCGGAAGCTCCTGCATATGTGGCGGCTTGCAACTGGGAAACAGTCAATTACTATTAATGAGTCTATTAAACAATGCAGTCAATGTCTGCCTGCTGAATTTGCCCGCAAGTGCAGACCTCTTGACTGTCTTGAATACTGGAAGGCTGCAGAATACCGGCAGTTCCTACTGTACATCGGTCCTGTAGTCCTTGCTAACCATCTCGATTCCTCCCATTATGAACATTTCCTTCTTTTGTTTGTTGCCGTTTTTATATTTTCCCATCCCATTTTGCATAAATCCCTCATTGATTTTGGACGTATGCTATTAGATAAATTTGTTTCCGATTTCCCAATCTTGTACAGTCCTGCAGATCTTGTTTATAATGTTCATTGTTTAGTCCACCTCCATGAGGACGTTAGTCGTTTTGGAGTTCCAACTACCTCCTATTCTCAACGAAAAGAAGGAGAAAGAACAAGTTATCAGTAAGCATGCCTTATCACATTGTCGCTTTAGGTTGCCGGACGGGGAGAACTTGCCGCCTGAAATACGAAATTTGCTGAAAGAAATGAAGCAAGAGTGGGCGTGTGTAAGGTAAACCGATTAAAACCCTTTAATATCATATAGGAAAAAATTGGACTTCCTTTCAGAGGAAATGGTCTGGGTGAAGACCCATACACAAGATATCGAAGCCAAGCAAGCCGACAATCGTCGAGCGTTGCACGCAGTAAGCTTTGTTTCCAAAGTGAAGCCTCCCATTCTACAACTGCCTTTGCGGACTGCCGAGGCGTATAAAGACTTTCTTGCGAAAATTGGCTCGGACAATGAGCTAGCGCAGGAAACGGTATGTAAACAAGCTTGGACACTCATTACTGCTTATAGGTAAAGCATTTGTCCACCGTTGGGGGACGGACTGAAAAGGAGTTCGTGCGTAATCTCCTGACAGCCCTTCTTGGACCTCCCCTCTGCCAAACTTTCTGTTGGGCTGGCTCCAACGACAAGAAGTCTTTTGTAGGGAGCCCTCTATTCAGTGTCCTAAGTGGTCTGTTTATTATGTTTTTTTTAACACCTGCAGATGCAATACGCTGTAATGAGCAGTACCGTAGCTGCCATTCCGAAGTAATTCGGCAAACAGCTATTGAATGGTTCCATGGAACACGAGACAGATACGGCGGGCGAGCAAAACGGCGTCGAGTAGCTGATATGGTACTTACTTTTCCAACAAGTTTTTACAACACATTGATTTAGGGTTCCCTAGAACATTCAACAAGCAGCTTTGAACTTTCGCAAACAATATCGGAGGACACAGTGAGTAAATTCATATTTGCTATGTAGCCGGCTAAGCTTTGACTTTCAGTATAATTTTTTTTCCTCTATTTAATATAAGTATTATTTAAAATTAATTAATCAACCAGTCTGCATAATTTTCTTATGTTCAGTACATTTTATTTTTAATTTCTGCATTAAGACATACATCTAATTAGCGGATACCTCTTTATGATTTACTTTCAAATTAATTAATACTGATTTCAATTTTTTTCATTAATTTGTATCGTTATTTTGACAGCTGTACTTGATAAAAACATTTACAGGGGACATAAATGACTTATTAGCCGAAAATAGATGGCTATGTATTCCTTTAGTCCCCTCTAAATGTTTTTATAAAGTATTTCTGACAATTATTTTTCTGGCATTTTTTTTTCACACCATAAGTTATTTAACTGAAATTTTTATTTAAGTTGCCCTAAGGAAATTTAAAGTTACTTAGGGCAACTTAAATGTTACACCACGCATGCCGTTTAGTAAAACAAAATTATTACTTAATTTACTATTATGAAGAATTGTTTACTAATTAATGTTTTTTTAGGAGCCTGCCGTGGACGAAAACTTCCGGCAACACAACGATGCCGCGTAATTGATTGACCAGAACAAATTCCTATCCCATATGTCCCTTGTACATATTACTCCGGTTTTTTTATTTTTATATGTTTAATAAACTATCATATGCCAATATTTGCTGTCCATTGTCTTTGTTTATGCAGACCTAGGGACATGTTCGAGTTTTCGGCGCTATCACTATATTTAGAGGGTGGGCAATACCAAACAAAGGTGAGGGTTATGGGTGTTCATCGATCAGAAGTCGAATGGTAAAACCGGCCGTGCGGAGAACTAGGAAAGGAATAATACTGGTAACGTAAATTGGGGGTTAGTATCACGGAGAGCGTGGCGTCCCCCTGCGCGTTTTTTTTTGAGGACGGGGCCAGACGGGGCTGGGCCCCGCCTAGCCCCCGGGGCTAGACGGGGCTATCGCGTCCCTAGCCCCGTCGTAGCCCCGTCATAGCCCCGAAACGGGGCCCAGCCCCGTCTGGCCCCGGGGGCTAGGCGGGGCTAGACGGGGCTGGTGCTAGCACCTTACCAAAGACGATCGGGCAGCAATATGCAACCCTATCCAGAATGCACAGAATCGGTCATCGTGTCTTACAGGAAAGGTGGAAGTAGGGGCTATATGAGTAGGGCTAATGGGTGGAAAAGAGAGCATTCAAAGGGATTAGGTTTAGAGAAAATGCTTTCATTCCGTGAACAGAATCAAATAAGCCCGTGTGTAACCTCGAAGGCTATCCCAAAAACGGGTTGCTAGCGCGAGTTAACATCAAAAAACCAAAGAAAGCTAACTATAGCGCCTGCTTAATAGGACGCCAAGCTTAGAGTTCAAGGCTGCGCAATAGCCAATAGAAACCCAAGGACGAGGAGCATTGGTGAACCCCATAAGAGTAAAAAGGGGACGCTGGCCTAACGGCACGATTCATAATGAGCTAGAATCACAATGCCATGGGAGGATCTTATCTACGCACTTTTTCTTGTTATCTCATTACTTACCGGATTTCTCGTGCAAAAAGGAAATCGTGATCTTCGAAGGAACATCTGCGTCGGTGCTGGAATTACACTGTCAGTTGTTGTGTGTGGGACGGATGTTTGGCATTCTTTCGTACTCGCGCTTGGTTTCATTCTCTGTCAAGCTTTGATAAGTCCAAGGTAGGAGACAGCGCTTTTCGATTTCCTAGATACCTCCACTACATCACATTCATTTGGGGATTTGCGTACCTCGGATTCTTTCACAATCTCCAATATTTCGGATTCTCTAAACCTTCTTGTTTTTCCAAGATATACCATTTATTTCTAACTCTTAGGGTAAGTATTGAAACGATCGCTCATTTGCAAGGTTGTTGGTGTTGCGTTTGAACTTCACGACACATGGAAAACTGCCTACACGCTTAAGAAGCTGAAAGATGAGAACACAGAAGAATATCAACATTTGAAACTTAAATTAAAGCACAAGGGGATTTTTGCCTCGCCTTTCGACCTACTGTGCTATGTTTACTCCTATATCGGAATGCTCACCGGTAGGTTTTTGGCTGCTTTTAATTCCTAAACGGAAAACGGGTCGATCCCTTATACTTCCCAGTAGTGTACCAGACACATTTTTCCATATATTTTTCCAATAACCTGATGGAATCATTAATTTGGTGCATAAATACCTGCAAATATTTCCCCATGAACCCGACCTAATAATGTTCGACGTATTTTATGCAAGCGTAGACTTCTTACCCATCCATCCACTCTTTCGCTGACAGTCAAGAAATCCATGTATTTAGTATTTTTGCCTATAAGCGCTTTGATGGAGGCTGTCTCCTGTCAGTAGTCTGCTCAATTTTTGAAGTAAAGTCACATTCGATTTCAACAGACTACCATTCATGGCTTAGACGCGGTTATTCGTTTTGGCAGATTAACGGTTATTATTCCGGCAACTTTTTTTACTGCGCATCCTTTCACCGTCCTCTAGAACTTACTTACTTATTTGTTATGGTCGCAACTTGTTTAGAAATGCTCGTTTCTTTTTGCAACCCAACTATTTATTTTGGGTTAGCAGACGATGGCACGTTCTAGCTGCAAAGGCAGATGGGACCAGCGGTTGTGAGGCGAAACTATTCGTTATACTCAGTGTTTCTGTAGTTGATCGAGCTCGCTACTTTTCCAGGTCTTTGTTTACAGAGGGCGCCTACATATTTTGTTTTCTAGAGGGCATCATGTTGCTTTTATTAACGTTTCTTTTTAGCCGGTCTTAATATCCTAACTGATACAGTCTTTCAGGTCTCGCCATTCCCGTAATTATTGGACAACTGACTAAACTTTGCCCTTCGTAGACTTTAGGCAAACGAAAGTTCCTCGGTCTTTTTAATGAAAATTTTGTTTTAAGACTTGATTGGAAAAACTAAACATGTCCTCACAGATCGCTGTTCTCCTTCTGACTCCAAAATAATTCTTTTCACAGCATTGGTTATCCCGCATTCTCCCTCACCTACAACAAGTTAACCATGACCTTAACTGCCTCCATATTTTCCCGCTCGCTTTTCTGATGACCGATTTTTCTTCAGCAATCGAAAGTTCTCACATGTAATTAAAGATTTTTTCGCGTCATGGCATGAACTTCAAACACCTACTTTGCAGTTACAGGAAAAATCGTTGCCTGTCAATAATACCATGCTCATAAAAACACCCTCTCAGTAGGACATGGTGCAAATCCGTCTGTAGCTAAGTTAGTAAACAGCATACGTCCTGCTTCTTTTAAATTAGCATCTGACTTGTCTTTCAACTGAGCTCCGGGCGCCGTCTTCGAAAATCGATAGTCGATGCTCATCCGATAGAGAGATGAGAGAGGAATTCTTTTTATTTTGAAATCGTATGTTAAAAATTTTCAGCAAAAGATTGGCTCCATTCACTATGGACAGTATATAAGTTAATAGATTATTCAAGAGTCAAAGTTTAACACACAGAAACGATTATTATGGGGAAAGTTCAAGTCTTAACTTCTGTATTTCTGTCTCTTCGCACGTAATATGACGCGCTAGGAATGGCAATACAGAAGCTCGATAAGCCGATGTGCGACAGGATATAAGTCGGAATATAAAGTTGGATATATTCGCATTTCCTAACTAATAACATTTCATTCCTTCCCCAGAGTTCCACAAAACTAGTCGGATTCGAACTGATTCAGATTTCAGTTCCCGTTATCCTGTCGGATTTGGTCCAAAAGGGTGAAAGTTACTATGAGCAGGAGAACATAGTCTATGATCCAGTGTAATTGCGTGGGGGTTTTTAACTCGTATCTTCGGTTCCAGAGTTCAGTTTTATTAAACTAATCGTCCTAAAGTTGTTGAGTCGCAGATAATCATGCAATATTAAGGCCGTAATTCCTGCCGACTACATGGCGAACTTCTGTGCCATTCCATGAAGTGCAGGCTTACTTTGGTATTAATGAATAAAGCAAGTAAAAATGAGTTTGTATTGTATGCTTACTGAATTTAAACGTCCATTTAGTAAGGGTGAAACATAAATGGTTTGCGAAATATACAAGCTTAATAGAAATCTGAATGGCTACAGACAGTGATACTGCGAAGAAGAGATGTTGCCATAAACCAGGTTCTCTGAAGTAGCCATTCTTGGCTTGCTTGTCTTCAGGAACGTTTGGATTTTTTCGGTCGGATTGACGAAACGCCATCTTCGCTTGGAGTAGCATAACGTTTTTTGTCTGTTTCTTGCCTCACGTAGGTCCCTACTACTCATACAGAACTTTCAATGACATGCTGACCGGCTGGCCTGCAAACGCACCCGGGGTTTCTCTTGATCCGTTCTACCGGCGTCTGCAAGAAGCCCCCTTCTTCGGTGTTGCTTATTTCTTTTCATCCTATTTCTTTTCAATCAGCGTAAGTAAATGTGGTGCCTTTTTGGTTTTGTTGTACATTGGGGTGCTCAATTTGGCATCAGTTTGGCCACTCTTGATCTGGTAACTTCTTTAAAACATATAAACTAGCGGTTACGTTTTGATGTCTCGTGCCCCATCATACAGAAGGTCTTGCTCTCTTTTTTACCCAAGGAAGCTGGCAAACAACGCTCGTTGATGATTATGTTGATAGCCCTATCCCTACTCCCTGCTTATCGGGTTCTTTTTCCGTAGTGATGTCAGGTAACGGTTTGTGTTGTCATTATCGGCGCTTAGACTCGCGGCACTATTTTCAGTTTTTTGTCAAATAACAATGAAAGAAATGAAGACTTGCATCTTCAACCGATAGTTTACTTCTAAACTAGACGAATTCACGCAATTTGACGTTTGTGCACATACTTGGGGATAAGAAAGGTAAGTGATGACTGAACTTGTAATTCCTCCTAAGACCTATTTTTGATAAAGTAGTCGGCCTTATTGAAAGGCCGCTCACGAATCCGACGGATAAAGTTAGTCATCCAAACTTTAGTTTCACGATTTTGTAGACCAGCAAAAACCGCTGTTCATAACCCTGTCCTCTCTAAAAGGGGTCTTATATTATCAAAGGAATAAAGTTCTTACTAAAAATCTTTTCAGATAGATACCAGGTACAGCAGTACGGTTTTTTTTAAAACAGTGGTTTATGATGGTATTTTCAAAATATCGTCATTGAACTGCATATTTCGCGAGTACCTATAAAACGAGGTGTAGTTTTATTGCTTACGGATCAATTTTGAACTTTTGTCTTTAGCCATCATACCAATTCCACTAATGTTGGCTTTAAAATTAGTGGTAGCTAATTTTCCGATAGCACCCCGATTGCTCGCTAAGTGACACGTCCTTTAGGTACAAAATTTCTTGATGTGCGGGCGTTTTCTCCCAAAATAACAGTCGTGGTCCGTCCTCATTGATTATAACTATCCACAACTTATTGCTGATCGCTGTGGGTATTTCTGGGTTGCAAGGTAGAACAGCATCGTTTATTTTGTCCTTCGGTCAGGATAGTTTACTGTACTCCACTCCCGCGAGAAAGAGGAGGATTGCACGGCCAGAAGAAATGGACACTGTTATTTTTTTCCCGTTTGCTCAATTTATTTCCTCGACTTATAATTGACTTATCAAAGACCTGCGCATATTAGTGACTTCGGCCGCCAAATTTTTACTGCGCAAAAACGCACGTTCCCCTTAATTGTGTGACTGTGGTCGTCATTATCATCTTCGTTGCTCATGTTTGCAAACAGACGCAGTTACCGTTGCCTTTTCTGCTGTATGGGGAAACGCCGCCCTCTTTATGTGAAAGTTAGGTGTGTTGCCCGGGGCGGCCTAGCCGTGCGTAGTAAACGCAGACGGGTTTCCCAATCCTGTCACAGTCACCTGCACTCATGAGATGACCGGTTGACTCGGACGGTGGACTGGTACACGACAGAGGGAAAAGAGAGTGAGATCGACTCTGGGGACTGCGCCTCCGCGACACTGCAGCGCATTTCCTCACTATAAACAATCTAACGCACTTGAATCTATCACGGGGCGCTAAAAACCGTGGCTTGTAAAGATTCCAAGTTGGTCCTCACAGGATGGAGGGTCAGACTGCAATGGCTCCTCAGTGTGACCTCTTTGGCACTCCCACCAATTCAGGGTCCGTACCGCCCCTTTCTTGTTTGTGTTTGGAAACCTGGTCAATCCTGCGCGGACCGACGGGCTTTTTAGCCTTACTAGCCACTGCGCGCTGTCCTGCCTCCGACTTTCATGACTTTGTCCTGACACCGGGCCCAGCTGGCCTAAGGAACGGAGAGTACGGTAGACGTACCAGAAGTTTGCTTTTACTATACACTAATCCACGCACAAGTCACGGTCTGTACCTCTACCCAGGTTGTCCATTTAGATGAGTTTCTCTGCTCATTCCTCGGGTCAGGTCATCAGTTTTGTTTGTTTACTATTTGCGCTGGTAAAATCCTATTCGGCGTCTTCCATGAAGTCGACATTTTGCTTATTTTTACGAGATACTTGGACGTCAGTAGTTTTGTATTCGGACTTACCACTGTACGTCTTAGTGGGTACAGCAGTGGTGGGGCCCGCTGCCTTGAGCCTGCCTGTGAGCCAAATACTACGCTGTTGCATCCTTTCTATCACCCGTTACGTTGGCATGTCTGTCACCCATTTGATAAATTTCTAGCTGCAAACTTTTTATGGAATAAAACAACGGGGAGCACTGAGGACGCGCATCTACTTATTTGGACTATCCTAGTTCAAGAAACAAGCGCCCCACTCTGACTGTTGGTTCATCCAGATCGAGGTCTTTATACATGAACGGGGAAGAGGCTGTGTGTCTGGACACTAGTTTTAATTTAACTGACAGTATGACTGAAAAGCGACTTACAGTCTTCTTTGGGCTTCCTTTTGCTTCGCCAGATAAAGCTATATGTCTCGGCTTGGGTTGCCAAGATGATGCCTTCTCAAGCTAACAATCTTTTCCGTGAGGAAGACGGTGATTTGGAAAACGAGGGTGCTTCTATTTTGCCTTTTCTTGTCTTCTAAAAGTTCAAGGATTAAAGTCTTTAGTCGGTTTTATGGGAACCCAGAAGATTACTTGTTGAGCGCATCATAACTTTTTGACGTTCGATATTTTGTTGAGCTGAAATGGGGATTTTGCTCAAGTGAAGACGTCTTTGCGGTTTTGAAGACCTTCCTCCGTCTCTCGGCGGTTTGTGCGCTGTGGGCACGTTTCCAACTGGCTACACTGGACTTCACGAATGCAGCCACACACGACACCGATTACCATATTTTCGCAAAATTTGGAGTTTACTTAGGGCAGGGAAGCATATCTAGAGACCTATTTAGTGGAACTCATTCAACTTCTCCCGGCCGTTGAACACCTCTTCGGTTGCCATCTGTTCTGAGCGACATCAGATAGCTCTACGTTCTTCTTTCTATTCGTGTCTGACGACGAGCGCAAAACTATTTACTCCGATCCCCACGTCTGCAGCTGAAGACAGCAATTCTTATAGGCAGTAATTAGTCGCCGGCTTAACTGAGGGCTGGGGGCTAAGCCGTTGTAGTCGTCGTACCAACGTCTGATATGCAGACTGGACTACCTAAACACCTGTGATTAACCTATACGTGCATAATTACCCACCACTTCACACTAGTCATATTTACGTAACCCGTCCCTTTCCGTCTGTGCTTTGTCGTTCTAAAAAAACCTGTGTACTAACTGAAATACCGAGCTATTAGCGTTTCTCCTAATCACAATGGAACCTTGTTTCGCTCCCCATCATTAGGAATAAATCTTTAACAAAGATCCCATTTTCTAACCGCGTGCGTCGCATTATTATTTGATGGGAATAAAGTTAACTGGTAAATAACTTTTCATGTTGATCCAACCGTGAAAAACTCGGCGAGCTCGGTGGGATTCGAACCCACGCTAACAAGGCTTGAGTACAATCAGCGCTGTAGCCACGCGAGCTACGAGGCCCAACCGAGAGCCACGAGGTTAGCCGCATTTTGGTCAAATTAGTCGCTCAGCCTACTGCAACGTACGCAATCCACCAAATTCGATACAGAAAAATGACTGCCCAGGCAAGATTTCCTGAGGAATCCATCTAGAAACCACCAGATGACTACTAGGTCTACTTAGTTCAAGCGCTTAAATAACCCTTCCTCCTCAGTATCGCGCTCCCCTGCTGAGGTCAGTCATGCTGCGGCATGCAAGATCACTCTATGATAAAATGGCCAGCTGATTTAAATCTGCCGAAATCTAATCTGTCCTGGAATTCGTAACAAATGCCTACCTTTTCTGCTTTCCTTCAGCATGTTCGGTCACCAGGCTTCCAGGATCACGGGTACAGCTACCGCTTCGGCTATATGATGATCATCTTCTTCGTCTATCGGATGCGAATTTACTTTGCCTGGTTGATGGCCGAGTGCGCTTGTATGGCCGCTGGCCTGGGAGCCTACCCGGCTTTATCCAAACCTCAGGTTGGCGAAGGTCCGACCGATCTCAGGGCACTAGATGAGTAAGTAACCTCGTCATCGCCGAACCTCACTGATTAACTGTAATCATCACCGCTGGAAATTTCCCTACTCGAGGTTTATTCCTCTTGTCCTCGTCTATGTCCTTTCGCCTTTTTCCCTGAGCAGCCACGGCCAAAAGGCTATATGCCCACCGCTGACAGCCCTCAGATCAAGGCTCTTTCAGTCGGGGCTAGTATTGTCTTTCACATTGGTGATATACAACTGGCCTTAAAGCATTTTTTACTGTTGCCGAATATCTCAGCAGACACCAAACATGATCAATAATCTTAGAAAGTAAAGCACTGTGACAGGATATAGCTCATAGATGTTTTGGCAGATTTTGAATAATTCATATTGACGCAACTATGGAAAACTCGCGCCTCGGTGGGATTCGAACCCACATATCAAGAGGAAGGCTTTAATACAGCCAACGCTCTAGCCACCTGAGCTACGAGTCTCAACCGGGAGCCATGAGTTTAGCCACATTTTGGTCAAGTTAGTCGCTCAGCCTACTGCAACGTCTGGAATACACCAAATGTGATACAGTAAGTTGACTGCCCAAGCAGGATTTCCTAAATAAATCACCTAGAATCCACCAGATGACTACCAGGCTTACGTATCAGATTTGGTGGATTCCAGACGTTGCAGTAGGTTGGGCGGGTAACTTGACCCAAGTGTGATTACACTCGCGTCGTCCGGCGGGGCCTCGTAGCTCAAGTGGTTAGAGCGTTGGCTGTACTGAAGCCTTCCCCTTACTGCGTGGGTTCGAATCCCACCGAGGCGCCGAGTTTTTAACAGTTGAGTCAATATGAATTATAGGCTATACTCTTAAAGTCGCCGTGATTTCCTGAAAACGGCACGACTTTTCATAGGTAACTTCATCCAGTTTACGTAGGCCTGAAACTCAGACTCCAACTTCGTTCAAAGTGTTTGCATGTGACTTCGTTCACGGACGTAGGCCTATAAGCACCCAAGTTTAATCTATGACGCTTGTTGGCATATAGAATCGTTCAGATTTAAATAAGTTCTCATGTTCACCTCAAACTACCATATTTTCCTTTATTCAAACAGCCCAAAAGGTAGTTTGTGCGAGAAAAGGCCTCCATCGTGCTAGATTAAGAACTGGAGGCCACAAAGTCAGAAGCACTCCCGAGTAACCATTTAGGCTCCGGTCATTGCGTTTCATGCGTTCACCCACCTGGTGTACTTCTGTGCGTATTTACCGTCGGACAGAATGGAACAAACTCCGTATTCTTAAAATTATCCAAGATTTTGAAGGTCATTTAGCATTTTTCCTTAGAGCCGAAGGAGTCGACTCTCGACGTCAGCACTGTCAAAAGCACTTCAACGGGTATCTTCATGCTGGCCACATTGGTATCTTCAGCTCTAACCGCACCGAATGCCTCCCTTGCACAATACACACGCCGCATTCCCCTGCTTTTTAATTGTTCAGTGACTGCTCCACTTCAAACAGTTTTAAGTAAAGTACTTGCAGAGACTTCTTTCTAATCTACTGCATCTTTAGTCAGCTGTGTTGTTTCACCAGCATTAGCACTAGACAAGACTGTTTGTATAATGTTTTGTCTGTAATTCTGGGCACTCATGATTCATGTATCAGAAAGTCGATGACTGTGCGTTGTTTACTGACGGTTCTACACGTGCCAATGTGCTAGTCCGCATTTCAGTTTTTGTCTGTTATCAGATTGCACCATTTCTCCCCAACACACCACAAAGGGCGTAACTATCATCCAGTCGGTACATTTAATAGATCATCTATTTATTTTCGCACAAATTTGAATTCACAATAAAAGTGCCTTGCGTCAGGTTATCTTCAATGGACAGGTTAAAGTACGACTTGCCTAACTAAACAAACTCAAGTCACAGAGAGATTTGGGATCGTTTGAGGCAAGGGTATGGTTTACGCCCGGGGTCACTTACTCCGGAGAGCAAGTGTGTTGAGGAAAAGAGCCGAACATCCAAGAACTTTGTTGTATCACAAATTCTGATCCTTGATACTGTCACCAATCAAAAGGGGACGCTATTTTTACCATTTAATGAGAATAATAAATAAATTTAGTGCCCATTTGGAGGCATTGTCAAAAAGACATTGCATTGTCGTATTTTTACTCCCATGAATACCTTGCAGCTTCTTGACCAACCTAACGCAGCAGCCACCGAGAGGTCTTTTCATTCCTTTCTCTGGCACCTACAAATAAATATCGCCAGTCGTTTAGCACCATTGCTCCCCGTAGTAAGTGACCCCGGGCGTAAACCATACCCTTACCTCGATTTATTGTCGATAACTAGTAATATTTTTAGTCCGGATATGCATCGAGTAAGGATGGCCTAAACAAATCAGGGAGCGGGGTTCTGTGCGGAATTTGGGTGACACAATGCTTGATCCATGTCCTAATTCTATCGACGTCAACTTCCCCCAAAAATATTTTCGTGCGTTGCTAACTTCGTGAAAACACGCTTCAGACGGCAGGCCTTGTACTGGGTGCGCTTTGAATCCGAATAGCTGATTAAAGTAAGATTTTTTGTCTTCGATCTCTACTTTCGTGATTGGCGACACAAGACGTCGTCTTTTGGGGTATGCGCGCCCACTTTATTGCTTGACCGCTTCCCTGCGCTGGACAGGATTTTTTGTGCGAATCAGTCTGTGTGGTCTCAGAGTTGCCGCCCTCATCTGTCTCCTAAGAGTTGGTCCTTCTAGGTTTCCACTCTCCTGCTTCAGTAATTACGCGGGGAATTTTCTCCCATCAAGCTTCTATGTCCTTCATTTTGAGAACTAAAAAGCGCAGAGTTAACATTGTGATCGTTCTAACTTGCCGGCTGACATAAATCCCTCTCGGCCGTAGCGCCCTTCCCCAGCCATTATGTCCCTGCCTTTATGGCTTTTTCTGTTGCGCCTTATCGGCGCTTTTGCTGTCTCGTTCGCATCGTGGACGTTTTTGATTTGGGCGCACAGGCGCCTACGTTGTTGTGTCCGTGACCTTCAAGAAGCAAGAAGGTTTAAAAGCAAACGTTAGTCGGCCACTGCATGCTACTGGCCTTCGCCATGTGACCTCAGAGTATTCAACCGCAGGTTCGCTTGTACTTTAGGCGCATCGCATGTCCCTCACCTTTGGCCGTCCGCAGTGCACTTTTTTAAAAATTGGGACTTTCACCTCTAGTCACTATTTCCTATCCTGATTCCGCAACCTTATGGGTCTAGGAGGAAGTAATGGCTAATCTTTGAAGACAAGCCAGGAAGCTGCTGAAATTCATCTGTTCTGGATGTCAAAACACGGCAGGTGTTGGGTCGCCTGCTAGTTTGCAAGGAGTTCTGTTTACTGACTTACTTCGCTCAGTTGTTCTTGCCTATCCGCCTGAGGCTATGCTAGTCTCATCAAATGCAATTACTGCAGAGCCGGTTAGGCCCAGCGTAAACGAAAAACCGGGTACAGAGTTTCCCATAGTACATGGATGTCATCGCCTCCTCATCTTAATTCCTCTCACATCTGCGTATCCCACTTGAATAGGCTGAACCGAAACAGACAAAAATTGGCCGTCTTCAACATGTCCGTCTGCTGAATCAGGATCTTTTATCTTGCTGGCTCAAAAGTCTAGCTGACTGTCTGTCTGGAAAAATCTAACTTTACTTTGACTTCAAACCTACTTCAAAGCGCAGCGACGGCCTTTATAACGAGCTGGCGCTCATCATCACCGGCCTCTGCGCCTGATCTTTTCGTAGTGAACTCAGTGGTAATATCTTATTGCCTGTCCCCCGACGATCTCACAAATCTCTGTCTTCAAGGGCCGATTGGGCGGACAGAATATTTGTCTTCCCATGTTGTCTGGTAACGTCCACACGGAGCACGGAGTGTTCGCTTTGGTAGATGTGAAATCTACTGAATGTCCTCTCCCTCATCCATTATTGTCTGAAATTTGTGAACTGTCGCTCCACTTTTTGCCGCGCAGTTTTTTTTTAACTATGCGATTTCCTCATTTCGCACCAACTGCGCGCACTTTTTACTGTCAAAACTACAGCCGATGGTAAACGTTTGGAACTGAACAGAGTTGATGAGTATTTGATCACGGTTGAGGTTTCTGGTTATAGTTTATGCGATGTCTGTCTTTAATTAATGATACCTCTTTCCCTCTCTCAAAAGTGCTCATTAGGAATGACATTTACCGATACATCGTGCTCGCTAGGCGGGTTACGAACGCTCGCCCTATACGCTTGTTTACGATCGCAGCTGGCAGAACTTGGACCGAGTGAACATAAAGTCTGGTTTTGGGCCCAATCCCTCCCAGCAAGGTAGTTGGTTGACAACGGTAAACAAGCCAGAAACTGCCACCCCTTTTTTCATTGCCTTCGGCACTTATCGAAAGCTAAAATGCACCCCCTCCCTTTGCGATTTTTGCTTACAGGTGGATGACGGGTCTGAACCTAGATAGCTCTGCTGAACGGACCGAAGAAGAATCAATCGACCTGGACTCCGCTTCCGTCGATCTTCAGGATCAGGAAGCCCTGGACGACTTTTATACTTTCGATACTGTTCGAACAGTCAGTGTGTGGCAGTGTGAGTTCTCACCGACCATTCGCGAGGGCATGAAGGCCTGGAATATGACGGTTCAACACTGGCTCGCCAAGACAATATATCTCCGTTGTCCCGGGCCGCGGCTGTTCCGGTATGTTTTGCGTTAAATACAACACTTACTGAAGAGCTTTCTATAAGACATATCGGCACACATCAGCTAACCAGAAGAGCTTAAATTTCCATATGCCAAGTTGGCCATTTTGGCTCAGTTCATGATGACACTGTTTCACTGGTGGTTCACCCGTCGAACACGCCGCTAACTAGCACTTCTGGGTGACTTGTGCATGAATTAGGTTATAGCGGAAAATATGTGCGCAACGTTGAACACGCATCGTCACTCGTCGTATTCCAACGGTCGGTAGAGACGACCAGGTCTTGGACCCGAACGTCCCGTATATCTCGACGCACTTGCAACTCGCTCTGAGAATGGCTGGTATCTTATTGGAACATGCAATTCGGTGGCAAAGCCGTTCCGCTAACACGCAGAATTCGGATGAGGAAGGTGTACACTACCTCTATCGCTAATGAAGTGTTTCCACCCTGGATAAAGTTATTTGAAGCCTGATTCAACTATATGAGAGAGACCAACTGTTTTGTCACACGCGCTGATGGGGTCCTTATGTGGAGTAAACATTGGGCGCAAACACTGCTTCAGTCGTCCCCGTTTAGACTTGACCGGCACTTGGTGCGAGCGAAGGGTGAACAAGGCCGATTCATCACATACAGTAGGTGTGCTAACTCATGAAATATTAACCGAAATTCTGAAATGCGTTTTGGTTTCGAAAAGATTACTTAAGACAGATTGTAAAATTAATCCCCATGCAGCATAATTCTATTATAATTCAGTTACCTCGGGATGCTGGCTTTCGAAAGAACTTTTTCCGGCCGCATGCAAAAACTACACTCTGTAAAAACGACCAGTTAAATAGCATGAATTTTTCTCATTGATTTTCGATACCCTTAAAAATTCAATTGTATTTCATGGAAAGCATGCATAAAAATATTCATTCGGTAGAAACTTATCTTTTCTTTCAATTTATATCTGAAGGAAGGGTATAAATCGGTTTTCAAAAACGTTCTCAAATTTCCGAAACATTTTGAACATACCCTGCCGTTACACTTGCATTCAGGGCTCCCAAACTACAAGCCATATATTTTTCGCGTACAGAAAAGTATACATTTCTCTACCATATTAAAAGGAGACTATATGCGGTTCATAAAAGTCAGCAGTGGATTTGAGACATTGTAAACTTTACAAGCCACATTAGCAAATGCAGAGACACGATGTTTTATGAACGGGCATTTCACGGTATAAACAAATCTCATGATTAGAGAATTTTCGAAAATCGAATTATACCCTTCCTTCGAGTATAAAATTGGAGGATGACGTAATTTCCTACCGAATGAGTAAAAGAATGGATATTTTTATGCGTTTTTCCATGAAATATAATTGAATTCTTAAGGGCATCGAAAATCAATGAGAAAAGTTCGTGCTATTTAGGCAGTCATTTTTTACAGTGTTTTTTGCATACGGCCGGACATTTCGTTCGAAAGCCGGCATCCCGAGGTAACTGAATTATTATAGAATTATGCTGCATGATGGTTAATTTTACAACCCTACTTAAGTAATCTTTTCGAAATGAAAACGCATTTCAGAAGTTCAATCAACATTTCGTGAGTAAACACACATACTGTTGATCAGAAGAAGAAGAAGAAGAAGAAGAAGAAGAAGAAGAAGAAGAAGAAGAAGAAGAAGAAGCGATCGCTGGAACAAGGGCTTTATTCGCCCGATGTTTCGGACTCTCACTTGAATCCATCATCAGAGACAGTGGCAGAAAAGGGTGACTTGTGCACAGGAAAATCGCAGTATTTATAGGATGCAGTCGCTATGCTACCGCATACCTATAGCAATTAACCGCGCTCCCTTTCGTCAAGGATGGGTGCCCGCTGGTGCCATAATGGCTTAATGACCGGCATGATTGTTAATCGTCGAAATGTCATCACCCCTGTTAGATGCTGGCGTAATGATTGCTCAGTCATCTGGCTCACCGGCTTGCGCGCTTCCCGAGTGATCAATTATCTTGGCCAGCCTATGCCTCAGCACGGAATATGGAGTGGGAATGTCGCTGCACTTGTTGATAGACTGAGGTCCCGTGAACCATGACTCAAGCAACTCGCGGCTCACGCGATTATCCCCTCTCGCGAGTATTTCGGCCTCCTCGAACTTGAATGTGTGGATAATCGCGTGAGCCGCGAGTTGCTTGAGTCATGGTTCACGGGACCTCAGTCTATCAACAAGTGCAACGACATTCCCACTCCATATTCCGTGCTGAGGCATAGGCTGGCCAAGATAATTGATCACTCGGGAAGCGCGCAAGCCGGTGAGCCAGATGACCGAGCCATCATCACGCCAGCATCTAACACGGGTGATGACATTTCGACGATTAACAATCATGCCGGTCATTAAGCCATTATGGCACCAGCGGGCACCCATCCTTGACGAAAGGGAGCGCGGTTAATTGCTATAGGTATGCGGTAGCATAGCGACTGCATCCTATAAATACTGCGATTTTCCTGTGCACAAGTCACCCTTTTCTGCCACTGTCTCTGATGATGGATTCAAGTGAGAGTCCGAAACATCGGGCGAATAAAGCCTTGCTCCAGCGATCGCTTCTTCTTCTGATCAACTAGTTCCGGGAACTCGCATCTTCGCTTGTATCGACACATACTGTTCTTTACCCATAATAAATGCGAGTTCAACTTTTATTTCTTCACTCTTCAAAGAGCCTAACGTCGTAGTTTGGTAGGTTGCCGGCTGACTTGGTCCTCTCCAGGAATGACTGTCAGGCTACAACGACTCCTGGCTGGCGCCCGTATGTATTGGCACGTGTAGCCTGCATAGACGGATATTCAGTCTCTTAACTCACGTATATCTCCCTTCGTCTTGCCTTATCTCGCCAATGGGACATTGTGGTCACGAGAAGAGAAAGTAGGTAGACACGACCAAAAGCTCCCTAACAGTAGTTTGATTCACACGAAAGCCACCACTGCACTATCGGTACAGTTGGAGTCCTCATTTCTTGCGATGGGGGATGGTACCGTCAATCCGACTCATACGCAGCTCGTTGTTGTTCCTCCCTCGATAGTGGTGGCTGTCTTCGACTTCGAAAGGCGAGCTGTTAAGTGTAAATTATATGACCCTGGGCCTCATTCAATCAAAACGACCCGAATTCTATCACAGACGGGCCATCCTGATTCATCGCTGCCTTTTTAGAATGTATGTAGCAGTAGCTTAAGATGCATTTGAATGGGTGGAATGCCCCTGCGGCCACTGCACTCAGTCGCACTCACAGAACTTCTGGCCGACAGGATGACAAGCAATTGCCTTCAGTAATTCATCCTTATTCTAGTTCACTTACACAAACAACCAACTTATCTGAGTCAGGGATAATACTTTGCAGGCTGAGGGGAAATACTTGGATTCCCTGCGCGCTCCAGGATTTCGTCAGTGGGCAAGGAGGGAAAAAGTGGCAAAGGATGCGCTTCGCAATTAACGGATTATGCCGGTGACAGCTAGGCACACTTTTGACCGGCGTATACGTAGTCCGCACGCCATTCCCCGGCGCGTGGAGAACGAGACTCTCGATTCCCATAACTGTCACTTATGCCGTCACCAAGGCGCGTTGCTGTAGTGATTTTATTTAGCAGTCCTGCCATGGTAGAGTGCGCAGAGGGCCTGGTCAGTGTTCATCCGACGTCCAGTGTCGATCATTCGACCTAAATTCGAGCTTGGGAACCTTCATTGTTCCGTAAATATTCTTTTTTCTCTCACAAAAATATGGGACGATTGGCCCGGTTCAGCGAGAAAAAGGGAAGATGCATGCTCAAATGGAAGTCATCTGGGAAGACCGTTCCTATTTTGCCTCCAATTCCAGGCGGCTAAGGACATGCGGCGTGTATCCTCAATTGAACGGCCGGAAATATCTCGACAAAAGTTATTTAAAGTTTGCGTTTCCATAAACCACTCCTGGTCTGTTCTTTCCTCTGGAATACATTACTAATAAGATAAGGGCAAGGTATAGCATGCGCAATCTTGATTGGCGATAGCTAAACTGAATTGCCTTTAAATTATCTCGGCGCCCTTAAACTCGGAAAGCTATCATCCCGCATGATAGATTAGTTCTTGAGAGGGATGCAAAAGCATAAGCTAGGGCTATATCTTTCCGACATTTAGGTTCGTCTAAATACCACCCATCGCGCTACGGAACTCACTCGTCCCGTTGTGCATTACTGGCTCTCTCTCAATCCCCGCCAGCAACCGCACAACAGCGCGTACTCTAGACAGAATAGCATTACTGACAAAGATAAGGAGATTGGGATGACAATTTCTGGCTTATTAAACGTCATCAGCCAACTGTACCCAACTCCCACTGACTCTGTGGCTCAGTGCTACGGGCGTTAGACTGCTGATCTCAAAGCCTGGCTGATGACGGCTAATAAGCCCCGAATGGCCATTCCAGTCTGCCTTGTCTTTGTCGGAATTTCTGTTCTGCCTACATTACTAGTCGCTGTACGACTGCTGGCGAAGCTTGAGATTGAGCCCCAAGGCACTCACCAATCACTTTTCGGAAGTAACTTGTCCCGCTCCGTCTTGAGTCTTTGCCTCTCGAGCCCTTCTATAGGTTGTCTGTTCTTTTCTGCCATTGCCCAGACTTTACCACTGTGTTCGAATCATGCCATTGCTCTCGTCACTGTTATCTTTGTCTCCTCCAGCTCCTTTGTCACTATGTTGATAAGTGCCTTTTGGCATGGCGTTGAACCGGGCTACTACCTTGCCTTCCTGCCCATTCCCTTTGCAATGCTGGCGGAGGATGGCATCGCCAC